AATGTGCTCTCTCCTCGGCAATAAGAGAAGGAAAATTTGGAGGAGGGGAGAAGAGGGGGGCATTACAGCTGCATAAAATCTGGAAGTTCGCAGAATGGCTATTTTCATACTGCAGTTTGGCTCTGCCAAATTGAAAGGGCCAGAACCAGAAAGACATGCTGGGAAGAGCAGTATTGCTAACCCCAAGTCACGAATGAGGCCCCAATTTGTGACACCTTTCACCAACACTAAATTCCTTTATTGTTGTGTTGTTGTAAAAAAAACAAAACAAAACAAAGGCCTCACTGGGAACAAGGGGACTTTGTCTGCCCTTTCTTTGTTCCAAAGGACTGAGAAACAACCGGGTTCCATTGTAGAAGGAGGGCAAATGGTTATCTCTGAACAACAGCAGAATCTTTTTAACATATCAGTGAGAAGAGGGCCCATTCTCAACATCTCAGCTGCGAGATCATGTCCTCCACTGTAGGAGAGAAGCTTAATGGTGATGACCATTCAGTAACGAGAGAGCATGGAAAGAAAGGGGAATCTTGAATGTTCAAGAGGAAAGATTGCAAACAGGAATTGGTCTGGCAAGGGCTGAGGCTAACTTGAACGCAAATGGTCACATCCCAGCTGAAGAAACTACTCAGTGGACTTTTTCCATGCCTTCCCAAACACACACACAGCCCTTGAGTGTCTCAGCTGGAGTTCAAAGCCGAGGCTTTCATGTCTCAAGCTCTGAAATGAGCCCACATTAAGGCAGCAATGAGGCTGTTGCTGGTCTGAAAGAGAGAGGCTGCTCTACTAGGAATTTTCTAGCTGCAGCCTCCCAGATGTTCCCTTCTCTCCTGATCTTGTGGGTTCTCCTACCAATACTGTCTCCAGCTCTGGTTTTCCAGAATTTGTGGTTGGATTTTAGTGCCTCCTTTTCATCCCTGGAGCAGTGAAGTGGAACAGAAGTTTGGGGGAGCAAGAAGCTACTACGACCATGCTGTGACCTCATCTTGTTGGTTTGGCTGGGCCAGAACGTAGTGGGGAGTCCAAGAATCTGTGCGTATACCTAAATATACTTCCTAAGAAAAACCTCTTCATTGCATTTGACCAGAAGAGAAGATGCTCGCTTCAGGTGCTCGGGATCCCAGCCAGTCCATGGAATTTTATCACTTGAAGTAAGATTATTGCCCCGTGGGACTAGGGCTAGACTACAGGAGATGAGGGCTTTGGCCCCTCTGGCAGAGTTTTTTAATTCTCCTGCCTGTCATTATAGCACTCTGCATATCCCACTGGCTGACCCTTCCACGCTCCCTCCTAGGTACATTCGCATGGATGATGTTGACAGCCCATCCCCATCAGCCAGCCACTGGGGCAAGACTCTGAGCATGTCTCGTCTTGTAGCATGTGTCATCTTCTGTTTCATTCTGAGGATTGTGGTTTGCTGCAGGGGGCTGGGGCTCAATGTGAACAGCCTGGATTATCGAACGCCGCTGAATGGTTGGGTCATTTTAATACTGTGGGGACCACAGGTGCACTTTGATGGCTTCATCATTACAGCCAAAAGTCTGCAGCCAGATATGTAATCGGTCTCCCCCTCCCCCAACGCACCATTCCCCATAGCAAATTACAGCATGCATGTATATATGCTCACACATACATAGTCCTTGAGGTTACAGCATTCCTGGGAAACATAGGAAGGGAAAGATTATCAGCCTGTGTAAATTGCATCATGTTTCCCTTCCCAGGCCTGCACTGGAACAAGTCCGGCAGAAGGGCAGCTGTTTCTTTTGCATCCGCTTTTGATTTGGAACTGGAAAGGTTCTGCTCTACCCTCCTTTCTTTGTTACTCATCTCCACTTTGTCTCTCTCCCTGTTTCCCAGTTATACCAGGAGAAGAGCAAAACTAAAATAAAAATCTACAAAGAGAGCAAAAGGGAAATACAAGCCCTCAGCCCAGCATCTCATTAACAGAGGAACAGGGTGAAACAAGAACCATGTAGTGCTATTGATCACGCTTTTTCAGGTTCAGATTTCCAGTTTTATTGCTGCATTAGATACCAAAGAAGAATGATTATCACTTGTGCACAGCTTTTCATATGCAGATCTCAAAGCACTTTTCAAAAGTGGGTAGGAATTAGTATTCCTGTGGGGGAAACTGAGGCATGGAGTGGTTCAGGGACTGACTTTTTTGAGCTCAAGCAGTGAATCAGAGGCTGAGCCGGGAATAGAATCCAGCAGCCTGGTTCTCACTTGTGCTAGTGTTCCATTGCTAGAGTGGGGTAAAGGGGATTTAGGTGCCTAAAGACGGGCGCTTAGTAAGATTATGAAAAGCACTGAAGTGGATTTCGCGCCTGATGCTAGATCTGCAAATGGACTTGGGCGTGGCAATGCTGAGCCATAGTTCGGGTGCGGTAGGTGTGCCACGGTATCAGGCCCCTCGATATGCCTAGTATGAGAATCCTGCCACGTCTTCGGTGTGAAATAAGGTGCCAAACAGCTCAGTGGCATCTGAATGCAGGCAGTTTTGCCCATGCTCACAGGTGGAAGCTTAGGTGCCTACAGGACTTTACCAGCAGAAACTTAAGAACAATGGGAATTTAGGCACCTATGGGGTTGGGCAGCAGCTGAGTGAGTGTTTTGAGTGGTGCCTAAATCTTTTTGTGGTTCTAGCCTTTAAGTTTAATTGACTGTCAGTGGGAGTCAGGAGCCTATCTGCTTCTTTAGGCACCTAAACACATGGAAAATTTGGCCATTAGTGAGAATCAAGCACCGTGGCTCCTGACTCCTAACTCCGTATCCTTGTTATTCAACCCCACTGCCTTCTAAGCCACATGGCACTTGCCTCTAGAAATGTGCTCTAGGTCAGTGCTTCTCAAGCTATCTGATGTGGGGGACCGGCAATTTTTTTCCCAATGTGCTAGGGACCGGTGCCATATTATTATCCTATTCAACGCTCTTATGAGGAAACTCGCTGCGGACTGGCAGCCGATGGCTCGTGGACTGGCCCCGGTCCGCGGACAACCACTTTGAGAAGCACTGCTCTAGGTCAATGGTAAAACTACCACTAGGGACAACTAGAAATAGCCCTGAGCTACCAAGTTTGTATCTGCATCTAGACATAGGTAAGCTTTGGAGATGAGTCGAGTCTAGTCAGATTCTTATACCTGTTAGGAATCAGGATTTTGGTTCATCCCTTCCTAGGTAATAGAGCTAGCCATGCAATTTGGATACAAACTGCCTCCCGTTTCTGTGGTGTTCAGATCTGGAATGGAGAATTCAGCCCAGCTCTGAGTAAAAGGATCCAGTCTCTTTCAGCGTATAACGGAGACTGTTAGCTTTTGAGAGTGAGAACCACAACGGCAGGTTGCTAAGGACATTTGTTTTGGTCTTCTTTGCACTTATACCGGTAAATTGACATCTCTGACTCATAAGCTGTTTCTTGCTCTGCCGTTTGTGGTCTGAAGTTTTTGCTACCTATAAAACATATTTTATGTGAAAACCGAGATTCTTCTCTTCAGTTAAGCTCACGACACACTGGCATGATATTGATCTCACATCTTTATAGCACCTTTCAAGCCCCTTTACAAACCAGTTGTGCAAACTAGAGCTGTACTGAATAACTTCCAACCATCCCAGGCATGCATGCCCCCACATGCATGTGCACTTTCTCTCTCCCCCCTTTCTCTCCCCTCCCCATGCACGCGCACACACACACACACACACAAACTCTAGAATACACATACATTTCCACCCCCCCCCCACAATCCCATCAGCATGCATGCACTTCCCTGAGCATACATGCCACACACACAGCCAGTGAATGCAGCCACTTCTGGTGTGGCGTGCATCAGGCTGTGTAACCGTGCACTGCAACTCTAACAGTTCAGGTGAGGGAGTGAACGGTACCATCTTCTTCTGAAACTGCAGAAGGAATGCAGTTGTCTTGGATTTGACAAGAAGTCATCTTGGATAATCAAAAGTGTCTCCATGGAGTAGCTTGCCATGACGAGTGGTGTTTTCTCATTGAGTCCTAGTCAAAGATTCCTAGTGCTGTTTTTTATATAAACAAACATCTTTTTGTTCAGTTTTTAGCTTTGAACAGACGCTCTGGGTGACAGAAGGCTGTATGAAGGCATGTAGCCATGCAGTTATCTCCTAGTTGGGCCTGAGCCATAGCCCACTGAAATCAATGGAGAGTGTGTCCATTGACTTCAATGGGCTTTGGCTCAAACAGCTATGTGTATATCTGAGACCAAACTGTGGTATCATCCCCACGTAGTCTTATCTGCTTATTTTTATCCATCCCTCCTTGAAAAGACCTATAGGATTTCATAGAGAATGCTAGGGATAGGATGGCTTAATTGCTCTATAGAATGGAGCTGCTTCTCTATTCAGTCCTCCCTAGGTTTTCAGAGTACGTTCTGTAGCATCTTATTGGGGAGCAGCCCGATTAAATTCTATAGGACTTTTTCCCGGGAAGTTCCTCTCCAACCCCACCCTAGAGAAGGGGCCTGGAACTTTCTCTCCAGCCAGCTCCTACATGGGACTCGCCCCCCCCCGCACTATATGGATAGGGCAGGGGACCTTCTCCCCATGCACCCTAATGGGAGAGGCATGGGACTTTCCCTCTCCTCGGACCCTATCTATGGGGCATGGGACTTTACCGGAACATGGGGCCTTCCCCCCAGCCGGACCCTCTAGTTGGGCGGGGAACTTCCCCTCCCCGCATCGGCTGGGTGGGGCAAGGCCCCTCTCCATTGTGGAGGGGCTGGTGCGCCCTGCCCTCTCCAAGGCGCCCGGAACCCTGCGCGCCTCTCTGGGCTTTTGAGGCCGGCTGGGCGGAGGAAGCCGGGTCCCTCCCCCGGCCGCTGTCACTGAAGCTGAGCCCGGCCCATCTCCCTCCCCTTCCCTGCAGCCTGGAGCTCCTCACCCCAACCGCTGCTCGCTGGGCTGGGGGTGAGGGTGGGGGGCGCGACTCAGCTGCGGCGGCGGTGAGAAGATCCGCCCTAGAAGAATAAGAGCGAGGGAGTGCGGAAGGCAGCGAAAAGAGAGAGAGATACCGACCCCGTCGGGCCGAGGAGGAGGAGAAGGGCCAGGCTGAGCGTGGGACCGGGGAAGGAGGGAGAGGAGGAGAGACGCTCTCCCTTCTTCTCCAACTTTGCGCCAGGCAGGCAGGGGCGCACAGCACCCTTCCCAGTAGGGGGCCCCGGGAATCCCGGCACCAACCTCTCCTCCCCCCACCCCCTGGACACTGACTATTTTAAAATAAACCCGAGGGAAGCAGGGAGCGAACCATGAAGGCGGCGGTGGACCTGAAACCCACCCTGACCATCATCAAAACCGAGAAGGTGGATGTGGATTTCTTCCCTTCCCCGGGTAAGCTCGCCGGCGGCTGCCTCCCACCCCCACCGGAGCTAGGAGCGGGGGTGTCTGTGGAGAGGGAGGGGGGTAAGTTTCACGGCTGGATCCTTGCTCTTGGGGGCTCTGCGTGGGGGTAGATTAGTACATTTCACTGGTTCTGGTCTGTGCGCTCTGATCCTGGCTCGGGTTATTAAATTTCACTGCTGGAGCCTTAGGTCTGGGGTCTTGGCTTTTTGGAGGGACACGGGGTTAATTTTACGACTGGATCCTTTGGGCACTGATTTGGGATCTTTGGGGCTTGGGATTCATTTCACTGCTGGATCTATGCTGGGAGATGTATCGCCTACATTGTGGGAGCCCTGGTCCTGGGAAGGCGATCACAGAGGGAGACGTGTGTGGTGTAGCTGCTGTCGGTCTCTAGCTGAAGTTCATTAGGAGGGTTGGTTGCGGGTCTGTTCCATTGCGGCCCCTTAGGTTCTGTTTGACCAGGTTCTAAGATTCTTGTCCCCCGGGATTCATGAGAATCTTTTCCCTCGGTGCCGTTTATTTTTGCAGCTGTTCTTTTAGGAGGTGGGAGATGGGGGTAAAATATTTGCCTTGCGAGTTTTGCAAAATGTGTGGGCTGAAATTGTAACCACCCTCCACTCCCCCCACCCCCCCCGCAAACTTTTATTGTAACGGGATCTGCTGCGGGCGACCTCTTCCCTTTCCCCTCCCTCCCTCATAACTCCCTGTATACAAGCCTGAGGAATCGAGACACGCATTTAGGGAAGATGGGGATAAAGCAAAACGCTCTGATCTCGGATCAGTTGTAAGACTGTTTTATTGCCTACACGAATGCTTCTCTCACGTGGTTCTCCCTGCTCTTGCTGGTTTGTTAGCCTTAGCGAGGGACATCTGACTAGGGAGAGCTTTGGAGAAGGGGAAGCTTTGATCTCTTTTACACAGAGAAACCACCTCTCTCCCTCATTCAATTATCAGAGTGCTTGTATTACTGAGGCAGCTCTTAGTGGCTCAAGCAAGATCCTGGAAATATCTTGTGCTCACCAAATCCGAAGCCGAGCATGTGGGCCCATCCGCAAACATGTTAAACATTTAAACCAGAGAGCATCGCTGCTGCTGTTGCTTCTCTCTCTTTCCCTGGAGAATTTGTGTGCTGGGAGGGGGTGCTGATGTTCTCTTGAGAGGGAGTTTCAATAACATGTTGCTATGTGTTTATTGTCACCCGCTATAAGTTTAGCTACTGCTCTCTGTGGTTAACACTAATAGTTCAGCCTCTGCCATAATAAGGGCTGCTGTTCTCCTTCTAACCTCATTTCACTTGCTTCTCTGGCCCCCAACGCTAAAGCAACGTCCATTTCAGCTTTTGTTGGGGGAGCGGGTCGGTCTTTAATCACGAAAGGGCCTGCAGCGAAAACGCTTCCATCTAGGTTCAAGAGGGGGTTAAGTTCAGCCCCATTGCTCCTCTCCATTGCTAGGGTAGTGGCAAGATCTCCTGTTGATTGAAATTGGCGTTTCTGGCTTTTGTAGGGTACCAGTGTAATAAGTAAATAAACCAGTCAGAGAGTTCTGCATTTCTTGGTCAATTATTGAGGTTCTAGGAAAGCCAGTCCGGGGTCTGTTCCTGCCAGTTGACGTGCTTTCAGGCTACATGTGGGAAATGAAGTGACAGCTGACAGTAAAAATACAAGGGGCCGGAATGGTTTAGTGGTTAGCATGCAGAGATAAACTACAAGCTGGTATCAGATCAGCTTGTCTGGAGATAACTACAGTAAATCAATACATGCATAGGCTGCACAACATCACATGCAAGTGCAACGTATTTAACAGGCATCCACCCATATGCAGATACCTAGATGTATATGCAGCCTGATTTTTCAAAGGCAACATCAGTGGAAATTTGCAGATGCTCAGCACCTCTGGCAATCAAACCAGTGATGTCTATGGCCCTGTAATATTGCAATACTGGGTACAAATTTCAAAAGCACCTAAGTCCCATTTTCAAAAGCAATTTGGGCACTTAAGAGTCTAAGTCTCATTGAAAGCCAATGGGAATTAGGCTCTTAATGGCCAGAGTTTTAAAGGTATTTAAGCACCGAAAGATGCAGATAAGTGGAATTTTCAAAAGTGGTGACGCAGGTTTGGCGCCTAACTTCCACTGAGTTCAATGGGACTTCGGCCCTCTTTTGAAAATCCCTATCTGCATCTTGAGGTGCCTAAAAACATTGAAAAGTCTGTCCCAAAGTCACTTTTCACATTGTTAGCCATTTAGGCCTACTTCTGCAAGCTCTGGTTAGGAGAGTCCTTAAACAAAAGATTATTCCCATGTTTAAGGGACACTGTTACTTTGTTCTGCAAGGTAAAGGCAGGGAGATATGATGAGCAGAAGTATCTGGATTTACTGGGGATATTTGTATGGAGGGGCTGGGGGATTTATTTGGTCTCTCTACCCATACTAAGGTGTCTGTTTAAATTTTAACATCTCCTGGCACTAGTCAGTGACAGTCTTCTTTGCCATTTGCCCAATTCTGCTCTGCACCCATTCAATAGTTTTGGGATTGATGGAGTTCCATGCAGGTAAAGTGAGAGCAGAATTCTGCCCTGCTCAAGTTGTTTGGTGCTGTTTGGAGAGAGAACCTTTTCCCATTGGTTCCATTCAGCTGAGTTTCTTTTCTGTACATTAACAAGCCCATTAAAGTTTAAACCTGATTCTTCCTGTGCATTTGAGGACTGCCGGCATTTTTTAACAGTTGACCCCAAGTTCAAACTTTGGCTGAAAGAACACTAAAAAATGAGACGACTTCCTATCGCGTGTAGTTCCCGTTGCTTCTGTTTTGGTGGTTGTACTGCTCTTGTGAGCCAAAGTCAGTGTTGTCAGTTAGGCAGCTTAACCCTTTTCCTCCCTTAACTTTTAAAAGAAAAGCTGAAACTTTCCTTCATGTAGTTTAATGAATGTCAAGATCATGGGGTGGAGCTGGACTGCTGTCTCTGGAAGCTGATGATGATGCTCTGTCCATAGAACCGTAGACTCCCCCATCCTTACCCTCCGAGGCTGCCAACAAAGGTGGCAGTGTTTTGGGATATGGACACTTGCTTCACTAGGAATGGATGGAGACCAGCAACTCCTTTCTAATAGGACAACGAACATCGATGATGCCAACTTTTGGTCACTACTGAACAAGGTGAAAGATTCTGTCTCCTTTTATCAGTCCCTGACCCATCTAGTCTTCCTGCTGCTTGGTTGTTTTTGCCTTCTGTGAGTCACCCTGTTATCTGCTGGCTTAATTGTATGCAGTGAGAATTGCTGCAGTCTTAGTTTATTTCAGTGCACCAACAGTGTCGAATATGCCAGGTGCCTGACGCTCTTGTAAAACAATGAAGATGAATGGGCTGGGCTGATAGCCGGGGAAAGCTCTTCCCACCCTTCACTTCCTCTCCCCCTGACCCTGGAATAAAATCTTGCTCCCCTGTTCAACCCACCTCCACTCAGGAAAGTTAGATGGGACGTGTAGCATACTCTGACAGTTTAAAAGTAATGTGGGTTGCCTTTGACCAAGGGGTGCGAAGTTGTATGAAACTTGCCAAAATGAGATCCAGGCCTTGTTGCCAATGTGTGTGTGAGATGAGAAGTTGACTCAAATACCAGGGTGATGGGCATCTGTATAAGACCCTAGTTAGATAGGTAGATGTTGCATTTTAGGTGGGTTATCAGAGTAATAATTTAATACATCATTTCCGTGTACAGTAGAGCCAGGTTAAATTCCAAATCCCTAACCAGCCTGCAGGGTGTACTTGGCAGGGCATAGTTTGCCAGCCATTCTATAAAAGGTGGGGTACAGCTTACCAGTTTAAAAAAAAATAAAATAAGTGATTTAATATTGAAATTGGTAAACCCTGCCCTAGGTACATCCCCCTGTTTGCAGCAGCTCTGCAAACGCTGACCTAGCCTCTGTGGTTAGAGTAAAAAGCCACTTGGCAGCCCTGGCTGAAAGCTGGGGACCTGTAATGGGACTCAGAAGAGAGGAGTTCATTTCTCCCTAATGAACTCTGTGACTTGTTGCCCTTGGGGTTTTCCACAGGTAACGGAGCAGCAAGACAATAGAACAGTAAAGTGGGGAGAGATTGTGGCCTGATCTCCTCCTGCTCTTCCCAGTTTGATGTGGGTGTTGTGCTCGTTTACACCAGAAGAAGAATCCATCCCTTTGTGGGCAGTGTAACACACACTGTGTGGGAGCGCTGTCATGCCATTATTTCCCATGCATATTCCCGAGCCCTGTAACCATGAATGCAATGACCCTCATTATTTCCCCTGGATCACGCAGGGGTGGCATCTTCATGATCGATTTTTATCTGGGAGAGGCCTTCACCCTGTTTATAGGGTTGGGATGAGATGGGCTCGGGTTCTTTCAGCAAGATTACTGTTAGGGAAGGGGAAGTGGAACGCTTCGATGTGGTATCTAATCCAGTGCACCATGTGAGGGGGCTCTGATCACCAGCATTTGGACATAGGGCCAAGATGCATCAAGTGGCTTAACTCTTCACTGGCAGGGTCGCTTCCTTCTGTTCTCCCCTCTTTAATGGCAAAAGCAATCTAGTGACCTAGCCAAGTAATTGAGGGGCTTTCCAAATGAAGGAAATCCTTCCGTGAGTGCACATATGCTTTGCATGTCTACAGTGCCTTCCCTAGCAGGATCTCAAAGTGCTTTGAAAGTATGAATGAATGGACCTTCACAACACCCCAGAGTTTAGTGTTCTGATCCCTATTTCCCAGGTGGGGAAACTGAGGCACAATGACGAGACAGTGATTTGGTGGTGCAGTGAGTCTGGAGCAGGGCTGGGAATAGAAACAGTGAGGTCTGGCCACCAGGCCTATTGCCTACAAGACCATCTTTCATCCCTTGTAAAATGCAATGTTTACCCTGCTTCCTCTAGCAAGTGTAACAGGAGCACCTTCACTCACGGGACCTGCTACGTGCACTCTGAGGCTAGGGCAGGGGTGACTGGTGAATCAGCGG